TTTACTCAAATTCCATTGATTTAAATGTCCATCTCATCCAACAACACCCTCAAGAAATGTCCAGAATAATGTATGACTATATTTCTTGGCACCATGACCTAGCCAATTTGACACATAAAATTAAACATCACAGTCACTTATGGGATATCTGGTGGGTAAGATAGAGTCACCTTTAGTGGGCAAAGTCAGTGGCTTTGAAACTCTTCAAAGTGACTCTTTAAGGAAACTGATTATTGATTCTTGGAGAGATGTCCAGTCGCTTGGAGCAGTGGCAGAATCAGTGTGTCTTTGTGAAACCAACAGCGTCATACCTCAGTAAATACCCACTGTAGACAAGTTCTGTGCTTAGCCATGCCATGGAAGAAGTACCCTATCCTCCTGGGATTCCCAGTGAGGTGAGAAGGCCTCCAAATCCACCAGAAATAGTGTCCACAGGGAATCAGTGAAAGGCAGAATCACCATGGGTTGGTGTCTGGGAGAGCTTCCTGTAAGAGGTCATATTTGTTTAGGTGTTATATTTTAGGGAAGATTGGCTGTGAAAGGGGAAGAGAGAAAGAAACTGGGTAAATGAGCATCCTGAGAGGAATAAACAGAGTTCATGCTGGCCCAGAGAGGAAGGCATGAATTGGGGCAAGAGGATGAATTCATATTCTATATATATGTGTGTTTATATATATATGTGTATATATATATATATATATTTCAATACAGGTTCTTGAAAGAGAGGCAGATGAGCTGGGACTAAATATAGCAGCTAAAAGGACTCATTGAAGGCTTTTGAGCAGCGGAGGGTGCAGAGCTCCGACACCAGCCTGGCCAGAGGGGTGCAGCACACTAGATAGGTCTTGGGAGTCTGTGGGCAGGGAGTTTGTGAGAAGGTTACTGTTTTATGTCTATTTTCTTCCTTCTTGGTCTTGTTCCTTTTTCCTCTATTTTCTCCTCACCCCTCTCCTGCTTCTCTCCTATCTTATTTTTATTTCCCATTTTGAAATTCTTCCTCCTCCAAATACCTTGTGTGAGTTCTCCTCTGTTCTCCCACTTCTTTCTGTATTTCCTCATGCACCTGTCTTCTGGGGAGGTCTCATAATTGGGAAATAAAGAAACAGCTGCCAATTTAATCTCAGGAGAAGTTTATTCCATAATTATTTATAAGTAAATGCCCTGGGATTATATTTCTCTCAACTTCCTTTCCCCCCATAAGAATTCAACAAGTGCCCTGTTAAATAAATTTTTACTTTAGGGTTGATTTCACAGACCATGTCTTCCAACTCACAATGATAAACTGCTGGTTTCTCAATGTCTGGCCCCCATATCTGCTCCAGAATCTGGGCTTTGCTCCAACATTGGCTCCCCTTTGCTCCTATATTTTCCATCTCCCCTTTTCTGATGTTTTCCCCCTAAATGTATAAACATGCTTGTCATTTCCCTTAGAAAAGAAAAATCCTCCATCAACCCTCAGACACCCTCAAGTTATCACTGGGTCTTTAATCTTTTCTTTTCATGCAAGCTCCATACACAGGGAACTGTACTTGCCATCTTTACTTTCTTGCCATTTGCTCCTTCTTTAGCCTCTAGCCATCACACTTCCGATCTCAGTGCTCCCCTAATATTTTATTGGAAAAATGAAACTCTTACTTCAGGGGTAAGGAATGAGTTTTTCAAGAGGTCTTGAATTATGGTGCATTCCTGCCTCCACAATGTCCCCAGCCACAAGAGCCACCAGCCTTCCCAGGTCCCACCCCTAGCTGCCCCAGGCTCCTTGCCCACGCTGCTCAGTACACATTTTACTCTGACTCCACCTTCTGCCCCTCTTTGACTTCTCAAACCTCCCACTTACTGTGTCTTTGGACTAAAGGTCCAACATCAGAAAAACTCCTATGTCCTCTACTTTGAAGTTTCTCTGAACTTTTTTTTTCTAATTAAAACTGGGCTATTCCCTCTGGGGTCTGTTTCCCTTGCAGTTCTCTCTAAGTAAGAACTAATTTTCTTCCCACAGCTTAAAGTTTGGCAATAGAATAAATGTCCAACTCGTTCCCCTTTGCTAATTCTTTTTTTTTTTTTTTGAGACAGAGTCTCGCTTTGTTGCCCAGGCTAGAGTGAGTGCTGTGGTGTCAGCCTAGCTCACAGCAACCTCAAACTCCTGGGCTCAAGCAATCCTCCTGCCTCAGCCTCCCGACTAGCTGGGACTACAGGCACGCGCCACCATGCCCGGCTAATTTTTTCTATATATATTAGTTGGCCAATTAATTTCTTTCTATTTATAGTAGAGACGGGGGTCTCACTCTTGCTCAGGCTGGTTTCGAACTCCTGACCTCGAGCAATCCGCCTGCCTCGGCCTCCCAGAGTGCTAGGATTACAGGCATGAGCCACCGCGCCCAGCCTCCCTTTGCTAATTCCATATTACTTCTTCCCCTTCTTCCTTTAAAAAACACAGCTTCATAGAGGAGCATGTCATCTGCCTGCTCATTACATCCTCTGTTCCTGTCACCTTCTGACCTTCCAATGACTCCTTATTCATTCATGATTTTAACACTTGGATCACTATCTTCATTTCCACCCCATTTCTATCCTCACACATGGAAACTTCAACTTAATGTTGTAAGCTAGGTTTCCATTGTGGCCTCTTAGTACTTTACATGAGGACTCTTGCCAATCTTCTCCCAGACTTCATTTACTATTGATGGGCTGATGACTTCCATATTGTTTCTAGCCCAAACACCTCTTCCAAATTTCAGACTCATATATCCAAGTGGATATCTCTATATGGATATTTAATGCAACTTCAAATTCAACTAGTCAAATCTGCACTCATCATCTTTCTCACAAATCTGATTCTTCTGTTCTCAAAATGGTATTATGTAGAATAAATGGCTATCCCAGTCAAGCCATGATTTTAGGGGTCATTCCAGACTCCTCTGCACCTCTTAGAGACCACATCCCATTAGTCACCTCCTCCCTAAGCTCACCTGTTTCCCAGGAGTCTAGAGTTCTCTGATTTAACATCTCCAGAGAGTAAAACTGGTAACTAAGAGGGCAAGTTCTACAGTAAGCATGTCTGGGTTCAAATCAGAGTCTCCAACTTGTACTGTATAATTGTTGGCAAGTTACTTAAGCTTTCTGTGTATTGGTTTTCTCATCTGTAAAATGAATATATAATAATATTGCTTACTTCATGAAGTTGCTGGGAGAATCAATTGAGTTATGATATGTAAAATGCCTGGAACATAGTAGGTACTTAATATGTTGATGTTGATTACATCAATGATAATGATGCTTGAGTGAAGCCAATAGGGGCAAAATATGAGGAATTGAGGAAAGAGATTTAGGAGATATCAACTGCTTCTTAACCAGACTTTCAACCCATCCTTCTTTAGTCAGCCCCAATCTATACCCCTGTCTTTAAAGAAACCCAGTGCCTCCAATTCCTAAGACTTTATAGGTTCCCAGGGGCAAATTAATTTGTTTCTTATAAGCTTTTCTTCTGTCAGCACTTTATGCTGTCAACATTTTATGCTATACACCTGCACTATCCAATATGGTAGCCAACTTGCCACCCTACTAAGCTGTTGAAATGTGACTGACCAGTGCTACACATTTTGAAATGATGATATTTTAGATATATTAGTTTAAATAAAAATATCATTAAAATTTTTACTTTTAAAATGTGGCTACTAGAACATTTTAAATTACATATGTGGCTAGCATTGTATTTCTATTAGACATTGTTGAAGAGCATCTTATACAATTTTTGACATTTCTCAACTACTGCCATCTTTTCTACCATTGTCTTTAGTCTCATAGTTTATACACTTTATCTCTTTATTTTCATTTTTGGGAAGTGTCTGGGGATAGCAAAGATAAATGCACATGTCACATCTGCCATGTTTAACTGAAGTTCTAACTAAGCTTTTCATAATCTAGCTCCTGGTTGTATTGCAGTCTCATCACTTTGTGTCCTGTCATCAACTCTGTGGCCTAGCCAAAATGAATTACTGATAGTTTTCTGAACACACCAGGAAGCTTCAAGCTTTCATGCCTTTGCTTTCTTTTGTGCCCTTTTTGGGGAATATCCTTCTAACCCCTCCTACCTGTCTGCCTAGGAAGTTACTCATTTTTCAAAAACTAACTTAAATTTCACCTTCTCTAAGGAGGTTTTCCACTCTTCCTCCTTCCAGTTCAGCTGACTGCTCCAGGGTCCAGAACACTTATGATATTTTCTTGTTTAGATATCTATCTGCCCCATGAGGTAACTCATCTTATTCGTCAGACCCCGTAGTGCCAAGTTCAGAGTTTGATACATAGTAAAAACTAAAAAATGTTTGTTAAATGAATACAGAATACAGACAGGAATACAGACAGTAACAAAGAAAGGTGGGATTGTAGAGGAAGTGAGGCTAACTGAAAAACTTCATGAGGGTAGTGTTTTTGAGCTGTTCTTCAGAAAAATTTTTGACAGGTGGAGATGGCATCAGGGATTTTCCAGGCAGAGGGAACAGGACAAGAAAAGGTCCTCCGAAAACAAGAAGTATGCTGGGGAAATAGCAAACCATGCAGCTTGGAAGGAGCATTAGTAAGACCAGACTATGCAAGGCCTTAAGGTCATAGAAAAAGTTTGACTTTTGTTCTTAAGATACTGGGGAATTTTTGAAAAGTTTTAAGCGACAGAATAACTCCTGCGTTTAGCATTATTTCCTTTGGCTGCAGACGGAGAATGAGTGCGAGGAACATGAGTGGAAGCTGGAACACGGAGTTCACGGCAGTGAGGAGGAAATCAGGGCGTGCTCTAAGGGTGGGTGCAGCGCGGTGTGGTAAGTGCGGATGGAAGGGCGCTGGCTGCAGGATGTGCAGGCGGTAGAATGCTCAGGGCTGGATGACAGATGGTGAGGGAGGAGGAGGAGTTTCTGGTTAGTATAAAAGGGGTGGTGCGGGTCCATTTACTACGACTGGGAACCGCGCGGGAGGAGCAGGTCAGCTCCAGACCGCCGAGGTGGAGGCGCGGGCGCCTCGCGCACCTTGTCCCTCGCGCGACGCCGTCCGCGCAGCCCGCGCTGAGGTTCCGGTTCCGGTTCCTGCGGGAATCTGCACCTGCACCTGTGAGCGACCATGGCGTACTCCACGGTGCAGAGAGTGGCCCTGGCCTCGGGGCTCGTGCTGGCTGTGTCGCTGCTGCTGCCCAAGGCCTTCCTGTCTCGCGGAAAGCGGCAGGAGCCGCCGCCAGCGCCCGAAGGTAAGAACGGGCCGGCCACCCCTGAGCCGCCCGGCAAAACGCGCTCCAGGGGGGTGACTCCGGGAGTCCCAGCCCCTACAGAGATACCGGTTAAACCGGCTAGAGAACCGAGGAGACAGCGTTTTGGGCGGGGCAAGCCCCACAAGTCCGTTGGCATCAGCGGGCGGCGGCCCAGCCCGGTTCGGCTGCAGGCCGAGCCAGGAATGTGTGTATAGAGCATCCCGGTTTAGGCCTCGCACACACCCTTTTGTTCTTAGTCCCTTCCCTCTTTCCCTTGCTGGCCTAACTCATCTTGTTACCATCTGTTCACATGCTCTGAGTTAGCAGGGTTCCCAGTTGAGTTTCTTTCCCTCGATGGGGTTTCTGTGTGCTTTTGTGTGAACTGAACTCAGCTGGAAGAGGTTATTGTTAAGCTTAATTGGTTGTGTCCTTTCAACTTGGTGTTGGGCGCTCACTGCTTCAGGGTCTTTTAATATAACTTGAAGATTTTAACAACCCAAGTTTCAGTGACTGAGGTGGAGATGAACAACTGATTACGTTCCCCTTACTTAAACAATATTTATCTGTTACTCGTTTGTTATTGGCATGATGTATATGGTGTTTAAAGATCCTTCCTCTTGGCTGCATTCGGGGGCTTTTACAGAGTAAGTGTAAAGGTATGGTGCTTAACGCAGGGAAAATGAACCAGAACAATTCTCTGTGGGTCATGAAGTTCTGCTAACTTTCTCTTGTAAATTATCTTTGTAAATTTCTTGTGACATGGTTTTACAGACTGCAGACACTTCCGCTAATGTTCAACCTGTTGATTGCTGGACAGCTCCTTTTGAACTCTAATTTGTGCACATTGACTGTAGTTACATTTTCTTGGGCATCATAGATATAAATACTGTAAATGCAAAGCACCCAGTTCTAGGAGTGGAAATCAGATTGAACACATAATTCTGTTTGCAGAATTCCTGGATAGTCTTTATGCTTGTAAGACTATCCACTGGGAAGAGACTTCTAAAACATCTTTGCTTATTTGGTCTTTTTTTTTTTTTTCCTTTCTGTCTGTCTTGTTGCAAAATCCAAAAGGTTTTATTTATTTTGTCTAATGATATTGTCTGCCTTGAAGAAGAGTAAATTCTTGATGATCCTGAATAGTGAAGATTCTTCTAAAACAGTTTTTTTTTACTGAGCTGAATTCAAGATAATTATGGTGGATTATCTTGAGCAAGTACTATTGAATGTGAGTGGAGGACACCCTTTTGAGTGTTTTAAGAAGTATAAAGTGGAGATTAGACATGGCTCTTTTTCTTGAGAACTTAAATGCTGGTATTCAGTGTTCTCATCATAGAATCTTTGCACTTTCAGGTTTTTTTTCATGTTTTATTTATTTATTTTAGCATATTATGGGGGCACAAGTGTTAAGGTTACATATATTGCTCATGCCCCCCTCGAGTCAGAGCCTCAAGCGTGACCATCCCCCAAATGTTGCACATCTCACTCATTGTGTTTGTATATACCCATCCCCTCCTTACCCCTCCCACCTGCCTGACACCCAATAAATGTTATTATCCTATATGTCCACTTAGGTGTTGGTCCGTTAATACCAATTTGCTGGCGAGTACATGTGGTGCTTGTTTTTCTATTTTTGAGATACTTCACTTAGTAGAATGGGTGCCAGCTCTATTCAGGAAAATACAAGAGGTGCTATATCACCATTGTTTCTTAAAGCTGAGTAGTACTCCATGGTATACATATACCACATTTTATTAATCCATTCATGAATTGATGGGCACTTGGGTTGTTTCCACAATTTTGCAATGGTGAATTGTGCTGCTATAAACATTTGAGTGCAGGTGTCTTTTTCATAAAGTGACTTTTGATCTTTTGGGTAGATGCTTAGTAGTGGAATTGCTGGATCAAATGGTAGATCTACTTGTATTGCTTTAAGGTATCTCCATACTGCTTTCCACAGAGGTTGCACTAGTTTGCAGTCCCACCAGCGGTGTAGGAGTGTTCCTCTCTCTCTGCATCCACACCAACATTTATTGTTTGGGGACTTTTTGAGAAAGGCCATTCTTACTGTAGTTAAGTGATATCTCATTGTGGTTTTGATTTGCATTTCCCTGATGATTAGAGTTGTTGAGCATTTTTTCATATGTTTGTTGGCCATTATTCTGTCGTCTTTTGAGAAGTTTCTGTTCGTGTCCTTTGCCCATTTTTTGATAGGGTTGCTTGATTTTTTTCTTGCTGATTTTTCTGAGTTCTAAATAGATTCTAGTTATCAGCCCTTTATCGGATTTGTAGCTTGTGAAAATTTTCTCCCATTCTGTGGGTTGTCTGGTTGCTCTCTTGACAGTTTCTTTGGCTGTGCAGAAGCTTTTTAATTTGATCAGGTCCCATTTATTTATTTTTGTTGCTGCTGTGATTGCCTTTGGGGTCTACATAAATTCTTTGCCTAGGGCAATGTCTAGAAGAGTATTTCCAACGTTTTCCTCTAGAATTCTAATAGTTTCACACCTAATGTTCAAGTCTGTTACCCAGTGTGAGTTGATTTTTGTGAGAGGTGAAAGGTGTGGGGCCTGTTTCAGTCTTCTGCATGTGGCTATCCAGTTTTCCCAGCACCATTTATTACACTGGGGAAAAGAATCCTTATTTATATTTTTGTCTGCTTTGTCGAAGATTAGTTGGCTATATGAGGATGGTATTATATCTGGGTTCTCTGTTCTGTTCCACTGGTCAATGTCCCAGTTCTTGTGCCAGTCCCAAGCTGTTTTAATTACTAGAGGCTTATAGTATAGTTTGAAAGCTGGTAAATTGATACCTCCTATTTTGTTTTTATTGCCTAGGATTGATTTTGCTATATGGGGTCTTCTCTGGTTCCATATGAATTGTAAAACTATTTTTTCTATATCTGTGAAAAATGATGATGGTATTTTAATAGGGATTGCATTGACTCAGTAAGTCCCTTTGGGTAGTATAGACATTTTAACAGTGTTGATTCTGCTGACCCATGAGCATGGTATATTCTTCCACCTGTTTACATCCTCTGCTATTTCTTTCTTCAGTGTTTCATTTTTATCCCTGTAGAGGTCTTTTACCTCCTTGGTTAAATATATTCCTAGGTACTTTATTTTCTTTGTTGCTATTTTGAAGGGAATTGAGTCTTTGGTTTGGTTCTCACTTGTACTGTTGTTGGTGTATGTGAATGCCTCTGATTTCTGTGTATTGATTTTGTATCCTGAGATTTTACCAAATTCATTTATCAGTTCAAGGAGTCTCTTGATTGAATTGTTGGGGTTTTCTAGGTATAATACCATGTCATCAGTAAAGAGTGAGAGTTTGATCTCTTCTGCTCCCATTTGGATGCCCTTAATTCTGCTCTCTTATCTGATTGCTGTAGCAAGGACTTCCAGCACTATGTTGAATAGAAGTGGAGATAGTGGGCAACCTTGCCTTGTTCCAGTTCTAAGTGGGAATGCTTTCCATTTTTCCCCATTCAGTATGATATTGGCTGTGGGTTTGTCATATATGGCTTGTGTCATTTTTAGGTAAGCCCCGTCTATGCCTATTTTGTTGAGCGTTCTTATCATAAAAGGGTGTTGAATTTTGTCAAATGCTTTTTCTGTGTCTATTGAGAGGATCATATGGTCTTTATTTTTGCTTCTGTTTATATGGTGAATTACATTTATAGATTTGCATGTGTTGAACCATCCTTGCATCCCTGGGATGAAGCCCACTTGGTTGTGATGGATTATTTTCTTGACAAGCACCTGGATTTGATTGGCTAGGATTTTGTTGAATTTTTGCATCCATATTCATAAGGGATATTGGTCTGTAGTTCTCTTTTTTTGTTGCATCCTTTCCTGGTTTTGGTATCAGGGTTATGTTCACTTCATAAATTGTGTTGGGGAGAATTCCATCCTTCTCGATTTTGTGGAATAATTTCTGCAGGATAGGCACCAGTTCTTTGTAGGTGTGGTAAAATTCGAGTGTGAAACCATCTGGTTCAGGACTTTTCCTTTTAGGAAGGTTTTTTTATTGGTGTTTCAATTTCAGTACTGCTATTGGTCTGTTCAGGAATTCTGTTTCTTCCTGGTTGAGCCTAGGGAGGCTGTGTGTTTCTAAGAAATTGTCCATTTCCTCCACATTTTCCAGTTTGTGTGCATAAAGGTTTTTGTAGTATTCATAAATTATATCTTGTATCTCCATGGCATCAATTGTAATTTCTCCTTTATTGTTCCTGATGGAGCTTATTAGAGATTTTTCTTTTCTGCTTTTTGTTAGTCTAGCCAATGGTGTGTCAATTTTGTTTAGTTTTTCAAATAACCACCTTTTTGTTTTATTAATCTTCCATATAGTTTTCCTGTTGTCAATTTCATTTAGTTCTGATTTGATCTTAATAATTTCACTTCTTCTACTGGGTTTGGGGTCGGCCTGTTCTTCTTTTTCCAGCTTTTGAATTGATTAATTAGGTTGTCTATTTGTAATCTTTTTGACTTTTGGATGTAGGCATTTATAGAAATAAACTTTCCTCTCAGGACTGCTTTAAGCTGTGTCACACAGGTTTTGGTAACTTGTGTCTCTTTTGTCATGTAGTTCAAAGAGTCTTTTGATTTCCATCTTGATTTCCTCATTTATGATGTGATCATTCAGCAGAAGGTTGTTTAGTTTCCATGACTTTGTGTAGAAATGAGAATTCCTATTAGGATTGATTTCTACATTTATTCCATAGTGGTCTGAAAAGATACATGGTATAATTTCTATTTTTTTAAAATTGTTTGAGATCTGCTTTGTGTCCTAGGATATGGTCAATCTTAGAGAATGACCCATGAGCTGATGAGAAGAACGTATATTCAGTGGTTTGGGGGTAGAATGTCCTGTAAATGTCAGCCTGAAATGCTCTTCCCTCATCTTCCTTCTCATCTTTTAAATTTCTGCTCAAATATAACCTCCACAGAGAGATTTTCCTTGATGAGCCTATATGAAATAACTTTCTACTCCCATCATTTCCT